AGATTCTGAAACTTTAATTAAATTCATTACGAACATCGTTTCGATTATTATCCTTAAATATTATCCTCATGTATATAAGTTGTATATAACACTTATATACAATAATTAAGGTTACATATATAATCGCGGAATTTTCTATGATATTCATAAAGTATTCAATAATACATGCACATAAATAATGAATAAACCATTTTATTAATTAAATAATAAAATATCCTCATTACATCTCATGCTTAAGGACACCTATCCCAACAGCTTCCGCATCCGAAATTGTTTCGGAAACTAACAGAATTTCACTAGGATTCAGTTGCTTATTCTCCAAGATATCTGGTTTACTTGTTTGACAAGTTTTACAAATAAATTTAAAAGGAAAGCAAAGTTTGACTTTCTTTAGATTTGAATTTATGCTAAAATTAAAAACTAGATAAAGGAGGAATTTTGTCTCTATTCTACCTGTAGATTTGTGCCAACCACAGGGAGGTCTCCCTATGGTGCGGCCGGCCATGTGGTTAATAGGAAGGGAGAATTTTGTTTCCAAAATTAAATGGAAAACTGTATTTTAAATGAGATTTAAAATAACCAATTTTGTTTTGTTTTGTCTTCAAGTTAAAGCAAAGAGCTTCTCCTAGTGTTCTATAAATAGGAGACAATAGAAACTTGGAGAAACAATTTTTGCTCTCCCTTACTATAGGTCGCCGGTTTCTAGAGAGAGAAAAAGAGTAGAAGAGTTCTTCCAATTCTAAGTTTCTTCACATACATGTATTGATAGTGAAGGAATATAAATTAGCAAGTGATCAAAGCCGATAGTTCTATATTAGAGCTCACACTCTAGGTCTCATAGATTTCAAGGACTAGACGAGAAAAATTTGAGTTTTCTGGAAAAGCTTGACGCTTGGACTGTTTGTAGTCAAAGACCTCAAGTTATCTGCCTAATCGTTCACTAAGTATCTATCTTTATAAATTAATATGATTAATTTATTATTGCATAAATTTATATAATCTATAAAATATTCAAAAATTTTATGAAAATTTTTATTATACATAATCCGTATTTTCACACTTCCACACACGAAGTCAATTTGAAAACCCACAATATATATATATATATATATATTATAATTTGGAATCTGAATGTAATACACATTTATCGTAGAGATTTCCAAAATTGAGTGGCTAATATTATGATTTGATAGGAGGCCTTCATTATTGTATATATACATTTGTTATATTTGTAATGTGGAAAAATTAGGGCCTTGTACGGCTCAGGGGCCTTAGGCAAGTGCTTTACTTGCCTTGCCCTTGAGTCAGCACTGTTTGAACCGCAAAAGGGGCGCTACAAGACCAAATAATTCCTCTCTGAATCAAACTAAAATGGTAAGAGTGTGTAAAGCGTCAGAGAACATAATTTATAGAACTGAAGGAACATGCTGAGTCAAGCACAACTAAACGACAGAATATAATCCCCAAAAAGTAATAAAAAGTACACGTTTTTGCACTCGAAAACGTTTTGAAAACTAACATTGGGTCGCTCCCTTACTCCCCTTGGTCTTACACACATGGGTACGAGCATATGACCCTAACAAATAATGAATGGATAATACATAATAAAGCATAATTGGACATGCATTTTTAAGGGTCAATTGTTTAATGTGAAAAATGTTTTTGTGCAGAATATTTGTACTAGCTGAGCTTCGGCTCATAAAATTTATTTATGTTGTGGGTAAAATTCCTACAACCATTGTTGGAACTTCTAAAGAAGGATGCGTATAGTGGAAGGATAGGGCAATGAATACCATCATGCAGACAAATTTTGCAGAGGTAAAAATCTAGCTGAATTCGCTTATAACAATAGCTATCAGACTAGCATTGGAATGACAACGTTTGAGGCTCTATATGGTAGATCTTGCAGATCACCAGTTTGTTGGTTCGAGCCAGAGGATCGACTCACTCTTGGACCGGCTGACATCTAGGAGAACAATGAGAAGATAACTATTATTCGGGAACACCTGTTGACCGCTCAAAGTCATCAGAAGAGCTATGCTGACAGAAGGCATAAACCTTTAGAGTTCCAAGAAGGCAATTATGTCTTGTTGAGAGTTTCACCACGTAAAGGAATCACTCGTTTTGGTGTGAAAGGAAAACTCGCGCCAAGGTATATAAGCCTGTTCCAGATTGTGTAACGAATCGGTGTAGTTGCTTATCGACTCGCTTTGCCTCCGGAGTTATCTCATGTGCATGATGGATTCCATGTCTCTATGCTCCGTAAGTGCCAACCCAATCTGGAAACCATGGTGCAATGGTACGACGTTCTGATTCAATATGAAACAACTTATGAGGAAGCACCGGTTCAGATTCTTGACCGGAAGATGAAAAGTTTACGTCGTCATGAGATACTATTAGTGAAAGTGTTGTGGCAACACCATGACGTTGAGGAAGCAACGTGGGAACTAGAAGTGATAATGTATGAACAATATCCGCATTTGTTCTCATTCTGAGGTAAGCTCTAATTTTGAGGATGAAATTTCTTAAGGGAGGTAGAGCTGTAACAACCTTGAGAATTAAACATGTTTAATTATGTTAATTGTGATTTAGTAGTGTGCCTAATTTGATTTTCATAATTAATCATGGTTCTTAAATATTTTCTCATCTTTAAATTTTAAATATTTTCAAGAAACTCTAATTATTCTCAGTATTTACAATTTCACCTCGGAATTAGGTGGGAATACCTACTTCCCTCCTTTACTTTATATTTTCTCTTCCTTTCTTTCCTTTCCTTATTTGCTCTCTTTTTCTATCGTTGTCTCTCTCTTTC